TGGAGGAAAAAGACACCAAAAAGGTTAGTAGGTTAAAGGTTAGTAGCAAAAAAAAAGCCAAAACTGCTTGTCACTGATGCAGATTACACTTACGTTTAATTGTTTTGAATAGTCAGAGCGAAAAAAACAAAGTTAATTCAAATAATATATTTTAAAATCATACTCAATAAAATTAATTTAAAACAATAGTAGCGTAAGAAAGTTGATAATTAAAAAATGCAAAAAAGCGTTTTGAAACACATGTCAAATTCACGTGTATATAACTGCATAAAACAACGTTTAAATTAATATTTAATGTTTTTTTAGCTATATATTTCCTCTAATAAACATATTTTCACCATTATGACATATTTTCAGAATACAATACCGATAGTGATTTTTTTTTTTTTGGCACACTCTGTCCCACTGTGCAGAAGTAGGGTTTGAACAACGGATCCTTTGTTTCTGAGAAAAGTGCGCTACCACTGCGCATCACGGCTGCTCATTTTCTCTTGTTCTGGTGTTATAAAAGTGAATATTTGAAGAACAGACTATAAAGTTTTTTTTCCACAACTTTAGCAATTTGAAAATAAAAATGGTTGCTAACTTTTTCTACTGCTAATAACTAACTTAAATAAATAACATCAAATATATGAACTATCATAACAATTAACATGAAAATTATATGGGAAGATGTGCCCCAGATATAGCAACAGTGTTCCATACAAAGACAGATTTGAGACTTATAGAGATAAAGAATAAAATCCGCAGTAAGAAAGTGTTGAGCGCGATAAAAAGATGCAACCTTAGCAGAGGGTAATTTTGCAATGGGAATGATAAATCGTTTTGAAAGGAAGAAATAATTACTACCAGAAAAAAATAGGGCACATGGCTCATCAAGTACATCACCATTTATGAATATAGGAAGATCTAAATTATTGCGATGAAAACTGGCTAAAATAAGTGATTTTTTATTTGAGTTAAAAATCACCAGCCACTGAGAGCCCAAAGCAGTAGCAGAATTGAGATCTTTTTCAAGCTTAACTGCCCCTCCAAACAATCAAAGAGTATTGGGTTTTTATCAAGACAACAATAAATGATAGTATATATATATCATCAGCGAACAATTTAACCGTGAATCTAAGAAATCCAAGACAATCGTTAATGTAAATGAATAGCAAGAAGTTAGAAGATAGTAAAAAAATATGCTGATTAAAGATAAAAAATTAATACTAAAGTTAAAGATGTTTCATGTTTTCCGTCAGAAAATTTTTTTTAATTTTACTTTTTTTAATTTAATTTAAGATTATCCGAAGGTAGAAAATGCCTGTACAGTCTAGCTTCCCTTTTAAGCTATTTGTCTCTGAAAACAGTTAATGTATTGAGACTTCTATCTTTGATTAAACTGTTTGAAAAAGCTTTCCACTATGCGAGGTACTCCCTTTTTATTAAACAGGTTGAAAACAATAAATTTTTAAATCACTCTAGTATGCTAACAGTATGTGTTTTTTTAATGTTCAGATAAATTTAAGTTAGTTAACAGTGAACAAACTTTTTTTAAATTTATTAAAATGGAAGCATTGATCAATAGCCAAGCTATCAAGATTTCTTTGTTTTTATGTTTTTTTGCTTTGTCATCAATTTTAAATATTTCAATTAGATCAATATTTTCTGATTTTGGCTTAATAAATTCAACAAACCTTTTAAAATAATAGTTTCTCTAATTTAAATAAATAAAATCAAAATATAATTTTATGGTAATATTGATATTGTGTCTGCGATGCAAAATAATAATCACTTGTTACCTAACCATTTGTACCAAATAATAAATTTATAAAATAAATAAATTCTTAAATTCATTTTTTCAAAAAGATTAACTTCATGTGATAATAAGAACTATAAAAAACGATGCTATTTATTCTTTAAAATTAGTCTTAAAACTGAAACAAATAAAAAACAGTTCTCAGTTTCTTTCACTGAAAAATTATACAAAAAATGTCAAAATTTAATCTAAAATTAACTTTGAATAAGACAACGCTTTCATAGAGTTGCCTTTTAAATCTTCTGCAGATTCTAAAATATTTGAGTCATTAGATTCCAACTCAGTTAGTGTTCTTTTTTTTAAAAACTCGAATCCTTTTTATGATATTTCAACGAGTCTTGCTCATAGTAAACTTTTAACAACTCTCAAAGACATTGCGATTTTGTTAGATATGGTGAACAAAATATTTCATCCTAATTCTTCATTTGATTTTCCGTTGTTTTCTAATACGAAAAGGTTATTTATAAATAAATAGCTCAGCCAGTTTTCTTGGTTAGCTTATTCAAGCAAAAAACATAGATCTTACTGTCTTCCTTGTACTTTGTTTGGTGCTAGTGTTCGAAACAAGCCTGGAATACTAAACTTTGTTTTCAATCCAGAGTTGGGTAATGCAGTTACAATAACGAAAGCATAGACTTGAAATCTTAATGTAACATTTCTTACTCGTTGCAACTTTAAAAGTAATGTTATTGAGGTTGATTTAAATGTTTCTTTTTTGAAACTTTTTTCTAATAACCAAAAAAAGTAGTTCCAACAATCAAAACAACAATACTTTTTAATAGAAATGATCTAGCAACTCTTGGACATTGTGATGATACCAAATATTATCCTGATATTGTGTAGGTTATATATAGGTTAAACATTCAGGTTTTTTTTAATTCTTTGTAATAAAGTAGTTGACTGTTCAAATAATGACAATATCACTTGTTTTAGGATGTATAAATTCAATTAATGAGATTTACAAGAACTTTAAAAGATATATTGATTGCAAGACTGATACGGCTGATTTTAGTTTATCAATAAATATATTTTACAATTCAAGAACTTTGACTTGATATTCAAAATTGTAGAGGCCAAGAGTATGATGGTGCAAGTTATATGGCAAGTGAATATAAAGGAGTAGCTTCTGAAATAAAAACTCTTCATCATAAAGCTATTTTTGTTTATTGTGAAAGCCATAGATTTAATTTAATTGTAGCGGTGGCATGCCAAGTTCGAAAAGTGAAAGATCTTCTTGGCCAAGTAAAAGAAATTTTTAATTTGTTTAACTTATCTCATAAATGTAATAACTGTATTAAAAAGTATTAAAGTCCAAATAAGGGAAAATTAATAGATATTTTTCGAACATGATTGATTCAAAAGCTGAGAGGTCTTGATTTTTTTGCAATTATTTTATACCTGTTATTAATGCTATAGAGAAAATTTAATTAAATTATTTAAAGAAATCCAAAACTGAAACTGCTTCAAGATCTTTTTTTTTTTTAAATATTGGCAGATTATCTTTTATTGTAAGTTTGCTATAACAAAACAGTTAATGGATTTTTTTAATGCATTTACCGTAACTCTTCAAACTAAATCTTATGACATATCTTAGCAGTGTTTTGAAATAACTAATTTGTAATTAGAAACTAAAACCAAAATTGATTTAAATTATACTGAATGGTACACAAAAGCTCATAGTTTGACCAAAAGTCTTGATTTGAAAGAAATGAGACCTAGATTGTTTAATGTTCATTTTTACCTGGATATTCATCCATCAAATACAGCTTGTGACTATTTTAAACATAGCATTACTTCTCCATTATTAATCATCTTATTAATGAGTTAGATTATAGGTTTCCAGATAATGGAATTATTATTTAGAAAGTACAGCCGCAGTTCCTTTAACTGCACTGTCCAGAATACATTTTAAGAAACCATGAAAATCTGATTTTTATGAACTTTTAAATTTATATTCATCTGATCGGTCTCATTTTTCTTTAATATATGCCAAGTTATATATATATATATATATATATATATATATATATATATATATATATATATATATATATATATATATATATATATATATATATATATATATATATATATATATATATTTATATATATATATATATATATATATATATATATATATATATATATATATATATATATATATATATATATATATATATATATATATATATATATATATATATATATATATATATATATATATATATATATATATATATATATATATATATATATGTATATATATATATATATATATATATATATATATATTATCAAAAGGTTTTTTGAAACAATCGTTGTTGTTTATAAAATTAATTGATTAAACTGATTTAAAAACATATAAACTTATCATAAAAAAGACACTTTTAAACGATGTAATATCTGTCGATAATTTAAAATGTGTTTTTTATGGTTTATAATCATTAAAAATAATTACTCGCTGTATTAACTTTATTTTAGCGCATTAGAAATTTTTTCAAACTCAAAAAAATTGAGGTCAAGTTGTCGCAAAATAATAACGGTATGGTTCTTAAAATAGCGTGCGATCGCACATCTCTCTTGCCCACGCCTGCTTCTCGCTTATGATGTGAGGGCTCAAACACTGCATCCCTACCGCATTATTTTTATTAAAGAAATTGATTTTAAACCCAATTGTAAAATAATGATCTCTTATTAATTAAGTTTTTCTTTATCTTTTTTCTACTTTACTTGAGTTGTTTCTTTTTGTTTTTTAAATTAACTTCCAATTATTATTGAATAGTTTTATTATTTAATGTATTTTAATTATCGTCATAATCATTAATAATAATTTTCCTACTTTTTTTTATATGCCCCTATCCAATTAATGCAGGCTGATATAACTGATTTTAAAGAGTATCTTCATAACAAGACATAACTTTAAAGTCATCAACTTTTATTGTTTATTAAGCAACTGTTTTGTCTAATTATTTTAAGTTTTTTTTTTTCAATTTGTTACAAAAATATATTTTATTTATTTGTTACATGTTTAGCTAAATATTATTTATATTTTGTAAATAAATTTTTAAAGATATGTAGATTTAACATAGATATATTTAAAAAATATTTCTTTGAACGTGATAATTAATATAATACTAATTTCAATTTAAAGTAAAATAATGTATTGTTGTTAACTAATTCTAAAATTTTAAAAACATACTGTAATTGGTTGACTGTCATTGATTTTTTTTTCCACTTTATCTTTAGCTTCAGTCTTAGAGTAAGCGTTATAAAATCCTGATCGTAAACTTCTTATAAACATTGGCCTTTCAATTATATTTGCTATTTCTTTAAGTTTAATAAAATACATGTTAAAAACATTGACGTATATTTCACTTAATTTACAATTTCCTTTAGGCAATGACATATTATATTGTTTGATATAGTCTGTTAAAGATGTTGCCATATTGTGTGTCGGAAAATCTTTTTGTGGAAAATAGAGATCATCAATTTGAAAAAATATGTCATCTAAAAATAAAAAATAGCAAAATCTTTAAATTAAATTTGCAAACAACACAAGATAATTGTCTGTGATGAAAATAAACCTATATTTACACTTATAAAAAAGTTATAATGTTAAATAATAACCCAAATAACTAACCTTTATCAAGAACATCTAATAAATCTTCACTTATTTCCAATACACGATTAGTAACTGCGGTAGAATTTGGAACCAATTTAATATGTTCCCAAATAGGTTTCTTTTCAATAGATATTACATATTTATATTCAACCGAATTGTTTTTAAAAATTTGTTTCGAACAAATTAAATTTCCTTTGTAAATACATCCCACTGAGTTCTGACTAGAAAATAGAATTAATACTACATATTAATACTTAAGTTTAGATTAGTAATAATCCTAAATATGTTAATTATTCCTGTGAAGCAAATCTCGTTCCTATCGTTAAAAATTTGAATATAATTAGATTTCGATTCTTTGAAGATCTTAATATTATAAATTACTAGTTATTACAATAATTGAATCAGTTTTTGCGTTTAAGCGAGCTGATTTAATTAGTTTAAGTTTTAAGTTGAAAGTAAACAGGTGTTTATTTTCAACTTGGTTTTTTGCGTTACTGAATTACTACCACTTTCTATCTTTTACTTTTATTTATAATGCTAGATTTGTTGTCAAAATGTCTTAACTTGAAAAATATGATCAGTGTCATAAAGATAATAGAACAATTACTTAAGTAGAAAAATTCAATTGCCTAACGAGAACGAACTTTTATTTCTTTTATTGCCACGTATTGGAAACTAATAGTTGCTACCAGAAAACGTGTCTCAAATTCGTTTCAGTTGCTTCCTTTTTCATATTTGATAAGAGAAAGAACTAAAACAAAGCAAAGCTTATAAGCAAGACTGATTGTCATCTTATGATAGGTCATAGTAAAGTCAAAAGAGCTCAGGAAAAGTTAGCAAAAGAATTAGACAACCAGTTTGAATTAGACCTAGAAAAAATTCCAATTTCATATCTTTTTTTGGCGAAAGAGTAGATGTCACAAAAAAGTTTATAGACGCAAATGAAAGCAATTTTCCTAATTTGATTATAAAAGATATAGTCACTTCCAGGATCTTAAACTACATTACTCTGTAGTTTAAGATACTGGAAGTGACTATATTTTTAATTTGTTCCAGAAGTGACCAATTATAAAAAAAGCTGAAGTTGTTGCAGATTACTTGGTTGACTGGTTAAACAGTAAAAGTTGAAATCAACATTTCATGTCCATTGGAGTACAAAGGTTTTTTAAATAGTACAAATGTCAATAGTTGGGCAGGTGTTGTCTTGCAATGGATAGAAAAAGAATTAAATAAAACATTATTTTGGATTGCTTGTGATCTGCATACTGGTGAATTAGGGTTAAGAGATCCAATTGAACATTTAGATGGTACAACGCTATCTTTTAATAAATGGTTTGGACCACTTGGAAAATTGCTTGACTCAACAACTGAGATTGAAATTAATACAAACCATGTTAAGATAAATATAATTCCTCCTTTGATAAAGATGAATTTAAGTCATCTTTCGGTCTCAGTTAGGAGGTTTTTAAGTGTTTGAGTACTGACCAAAGCTGTGCTAACGAAATTTGTGAAGCTATAGAGATTAGAATACTGCCAATCAGATTAGCAATACCGAAAATTAAACCAGTGTGTCACAGTATATGGCTAACAACAGCACTTTAATTTTTTAGAGTTATTCATTTCATCATGGCCACATTATTAAAAACCAGGAGAACTTATGAATAATTTTAAACTTTAAAATTAGTTTTTATATACCTAACTGGTTTAGTAATAAAGTTAAATCAAATTGGATTGAGGGACATAGACATATCTTGTACCAACTGATTAAAACAGATTAAAGATGTTGCATATTTAGTTAATACGAGAAGGAAACAAGCAGCAGCCTACGGTAGTTATATTAAAAAGAACACTATAATCTATAATATATATATTAAATAGCAAAAGAGACAGTACACGTTCTTGTCACACTCCGTTTCTGATGTGCCTCTTTTGATATATATATATATATATATATATATATATATATATATATATATATATATATATATATATATATATATATATATATATATATATATATATATATATATATATATGTATATATATGTATATGTATATATATATATATATATATATATATATATATATATATATATATATATATATATATATATATATATATATATATATATATATATATATATATATATAATATATATATATATATATAGATAGATAGATAGATAGATAGATAGATAGATAGATAGATATATAGAAAGATACATATGAAGAAAGATATACATATATTTTTCAAATAAATAACAATTTTTTTTTATTTTTTTAACAACATATTTCATTAATATAAATTGACATCATTAGGTATAAAAAAATAAGTTTCAATTTTTGTATATAAACAATTTGTTTGGCGACATTAAAATTTAATAGTTTTTTACAATAGTTACCATAGATACATTAAATAAATAATTACTATGAAATTTACAAAGGTTGTGAAATAGTTAATAAAAAATAAAATAGAATATAAAAAATAAGAAAATTAAAAAATTATATTGTTTTATATTAATATGATTTTAATTGTGAATTATAAAGAGGTTTTTTCATCTCAATACGGATTCCTTCCTTAATTTTGAGATCATACTTAAAGGAAGCTCTGTCAATAATGGAAAAGCAATCAGGGTTTGTTGTATTTTTGCCTTTTTGTGATGAATTGAGGTGTTTTTATTTTAACTATGGTAACTATGTTAACTATGGTAACTGTTGTAAAAAACTATTACGTTTTTAATGTAGCCAAAAAAATTGTTTACATAGAGAAATTGTAACTAACACTTTATACCTGATGATGTCAATTGATATTGATGAAACATGTTGTTAAAAAGTTTTAAAAAAAATAGTAATTCATTTGAAAATTATTACTAAGTTAGTGCTTCTTAGACCATATGGTAACTGTTGTAAAAATCTATTACGTTTTTAATGTAGCCAAAAAAATTGTTTACATACAGAAATTGTAACTAACATTTTATACCTGATGATGTCAATTGATATTGATGAAACATGTTGTTAAAAAGTTTTAAAAAAATAGTAATTCATTTGAAAATTATTACTAAATTAGTCCTTCTTAGACCATATACATATACATGAATTTAAAATTATAGGCTGATGTTTTTAATACATATATATATATATATATATATATATATATATATATATATATATATATATATATATAAATATGTATATATATATATATATATATATATATATATATATATATGTATATATATATATATATATATATATATATATATATACATATATATATATATATATATATATATATATATATATATATATATATATATATATATATATATATATATATATATATATATATATATATATATATATATATATATATATATATATATATATATATATATATATATATATATATACGTATGCATTAAAAACGTCAGCCCATAATTTTAAATTCATTTAATAAAATCATGTATTAAATTCAATATATATGTAGAAACAAATAATGACAAGCAGGTACATCAAACCACTTGTAATTTAAAGGGATAAATTGAAGAACGCCAACAGTTCTACTTAAACTCCTTATTTTGGAATGTGAAGTAAGAAAAGAAGGACTACTTTATGATTCGTACAAGTCTAACTAATTAATAATGATTTGAGAGTAAGAAAGCTGTAAATTCTGTTTATTTTTAAATACTCAAATATTTTCTGATACATTATAGAAATTTTCTTATATAATGCAAGTTTCAGTTATATTTGATATGTTTTCAGAGTATGACAAACATGATGAACACAGAACAAAAACTTGTAATGGTTGCGAAAATGAAAATTCAATTATGTTATTTGTGGCAAAATCAACTAATAATGGCAAATATTGCGAATGAGCTTGCAAAAACAAGCTTTTTAATAAAAGTGTAAGATTTAAAATTTTTAATTGCAATATTTTAGAATAATATGTAATATATGTATTCCTAATAATAATATCATACAGACTATGGTTAAGATTTATTATATTGAATTTTAGTTGTTTAAGGAAAAGTACATACCCCAATAATTGGGAAAAACCATAACAATTGTGCAATCAATTTAAAATAATTAGTTTCCATATTTTAAAAAAGAATGCAATATTTCATTTTCAGGATATGTATAAGCATTATGTGGAAGTTATTACAGGGTGTCGGCCAGATCAAGAAAATTAAGAAGTTTAGATTTTTGCAAAAGACCACGGATTAATCAGAGAAATTGGGTCGTATTTTGAAATAATCAGGGAAAATAGCTATGTAGCAAATGTACATAACCAGTTTGTCATGTCAGTTTAGTATCATACACGTAACGTAAAAATTTTTCTAGAAGATTTTTTTATGGCCTTCCTTTGATAATTTGAATGTTGCTTGTAATTATATTTATATATATTTGCACTAAAGCATTTTTCTAAACGAATTTATGTTGATTTTCTCTAAAGTGGAGCTTTTGTTGCTTTTAATTAATCAGCAAAAGCTGGTTGAGAATCAGGGTTAAGTCATGGAAATCCATCTTTAAATATTAGCTGACACCCTGTATTATATCTAAATGATTTGCTTAAAGAAAACAACATTTTACATACTCTGGAACACTGGGAGAAGAATAGAAATAGTTGTTAGTTATTAAATATTATATTTATTTAAAGATAACTGGACAAAATCTACATTATTTCATGTTTTTAATTTTAATAAAAACAGTATTTTGTGTTTGATGAATTTAGCATTATATATGTTATATATGCCTGTTATTTGACTTCTGTACATAATCATATTCAAACATCTCAGTTATGCATAATACTTTTTTTTGTAGTAAAGCTAAACACCAGTGTACAATGAAAAGAATGGATATACACAAATTAGTGCCACTGAGTGCACAAATATGTGAAACTGTTATTTTCCCTCTCTTGCTGACTTGGCCACGGCTTTTCGACCGTTGATAATTTTTGCTCAGTTTGTAAATGGCGCTTTAAAACAAAAGTTAATAAATAAAAAATGAAAATAAAAACCATAAACTAAAAAAGAAAATAAATCTTAACCTAAGTGAAAATAAAGAAACGTATTAAAGTAAGCTATAAGCGAAATTTTCATTTTTTTTAAATTCAAAAGCGTTTCGCCTAATAGACTTGAATATTGATGAAATATAGTTTTTCCAACATGAAATTTCCAAACTTATGTAAAAACTAAATTATCGATAATTTTTTTATGTATCA